GCCATAAAAATGAAGTGTGAATGTACCTAGTAGTTCTAACTTACTGTATAAAATTTACCTGTTACTTCTAAAACTTGTTGTAGGATCCTGGGTACATACTGTGAACAAACACTTGTGGAAAAAGTAAAGTTTACTGTAATGGCAGTCTTCCTTAAAGGACTTTTTTTCAAAATTTCCTAAGTGGCATGGGTACTTATTTAGACAGTCACTAATTTTCTGTCTCTGTGCTTCTGAAGAGTTAATGACCATTCATGGCAGCTATCTTAAACAACAGGGAACAAAAAAGATCACAGAAGAAATGGCCACGCACTACAGCACAGGAAACAAGACATGTAAAAGAGAACAAGGAGAAGAGACACCGATGAAACAGTGGTTTCTGTGCTGTACAGTAAAGCCAGCAGTATCAAGAAAGAAAATGATCTGAAACAGCAGTGAAGGATATTGAAGGAAAAGCACATGTGCTACAACTGTAGGCAAAGTTATGCAACAGGGTCAGTTTCTAAATTCTTTATCACATGGTCAAGGACCATAAGAACAATGCACTTGTCACAGCATCTGAAAGACTAGTGCACTGCATCTTTTGCATCTCCATAAACAGGATAAAGGAGTATTAAACAAATCTTTTTGTTCAGAAAAGATTAATGAAGTATTATCACAATCTCAAATAAGAATTGCGACAAATGAGAGGCCCATCAACAACAGTAAGAATAATCATGACAACAGTAATACAAGTTCTTTTTACGTAATAAACTGACTCCTTTAAAAAGAAAAATAGATCAAAAACAAGTTTAAATCAATGGTCTTATTTAAATAGGTTGTGAATTTTAGCACTGTTTATGGACCAGAAATTGACATGCTTCCCTCTGGGCTACAATTTCAAAACCAGTATGGTGACAAAGGACAGTGCTGCATAGAAGACGGGATCTGGTCTATGCTACACTGGAGGAGGTGCTGTATTTTGAATGAGTCATGAATTAAGATGAAAAATCTCATAGCAGTTTTCAAAACAGCAGGGGGGTGTTAACCCACCAGTGTCCTAGCTATTTTCCACCGTGACTTTAACAACTAGCCAACCTATCTCTTATTTCAAAGGGCAGTTGCTCACCCTTCCCCACAACCTTGTGGTGAGGGTGCTGGCACACAATTGTCATGCGGCACCCAGGTGGGCACTGCACTTCAGAGGTGTGTGTTTGTGGCCCCCCCCACCCCAGGTATGCCAAGCTATATAAATACTTATTTTTTATAAGGCAAAGCTTTAGGGACTGATGCGTATTCATAACTCACAGTAACAACTCTTATATGCAGGGAGACTGAGGAAGTGTACAACGTCTGCTACACAGATGTGGATTAGTGTCTATTGGAGGAGAGGCACATCTCTCACTGATGTCACTGCATGTCTGCAGGTACCCATGAAATCAAAGGCATGTTCTCATGGAAGGAGCCCCTGACAATTAATCCCAAAGCCACCCACCCCTAGCAGGAGCCAATTGTGTTCTCCAACTTGGGTAATCCTGGTCACAGACTGCACCTCGAACTCACAACATCTGGATCATACAGCTTGATGTAGATTCTGAGATAGCGCCTTTATCAATGGAGCATGTTTGGCATTCCAGAGTGATTTTCCCCCTCTTTGTAAACCAATTCGTATTCACAGGAAGGCCTAAATACCAAACATGTCAAAATTATTTTATTTTTTTTTCCAATCTGAATACAACTTTTTGTTCCAGAATCTACTCTCTTATAACGAGACCTCTACCTTCACAAATTCTGTATTCTTGACCTGCAACTTTCAAATTATTCACCCTTCCAAGCCTTAACTACTGCATTATAGAGATTGCCATGCAAAAATGCAGGCAGTCTCTTCATTTCAAAAACAGCCTACAGCTCCTTACTGGAATCTTCCTTTTCTCGGCTATGTGAGCACATTGGGCTCTCTGCAAGTGTGTCAGCTCAGATTTTTCTACTTTGGCATGCTAAATATGTTTCGCTGAACTTCACTTGAAAAGAATGTGCACAACTATAGGGGAAGCACATTGGCATGGCACAGATGTTGAGACGCATGGCCTAGAGTCTAAGACCTTCATTCTGAACCATGTGCATGATTAGCTGCCAACCTCATTTCCTCACTGTGAACCTTAAGGCACTTCAGAGGTGCCAGTTCAGTCTGAACTTGAAAGGGTGGAATAATATAAACTGATTAATCTAATCTAAACCAGAAAATGATCGTATCCGAGAACAACAATAATGCCATTTGAAACAGGTTTTTATATCACCAGCAAGACAATTAACCCTTTATGGATCCTCCGTATTTCTAGACCTCCTCTCACATATCTCAAGTACAAAAAGCTCTAAGAAATCTAACCAGATGTATCTGGGAATGTCACTTTCCAATATCTTATTTTTACTCTTTCAAAAAATGTTATATCCTACAAACACTGCTTTCAAAGATAGAGAGGGACAAAAGATGTTATTAAAAATATTAAAATCATTATGATGGTAGCATTGAAATAGTAAGAAGTTTTAAAACATTGAAACAGGATTTTAAACTCTATTTGCACTGCTGTAACATACAGTGAACCTTCACTAAACAGATCCGAGGACAAATACAATCATGGTTACAGAAATATTTATCAGAACTAAAATTGCAATAACCATTTCAGTTTGCCCAGTTGCCAAATGACTACGCTCGTTACTTTTGACCTAAGATGTGAAAACTAATATCCAGTGATTGACTTGGTTCTTTTCAAATAAGGGTCTCGTAGTAACATGATAGTTAAAACTACAACCTGACAGCTCCAGCGCTCTGGATTTGGAAATCAGCTCGGGGTGCCTGACTGTGTGGAGTCTGTATGTTCGACTCATGTTTACACGGAGAGATGATCCTATGCTCACCTACCTCTCAGAGACATGCAGGTCAGGTTTGACTGGCTACAAGACATCTTTCTGGGACGTTTCAAGGGGATTGCATTTTTGTGGGATGTATTCCAATACAGCAATTACAGGCTATGGGACTACAGAGAAACAGACCCAACAGGCTAAATGGACCGAATGACCTCCTCTCACTCTTGGCTTTTCCATTGTGTGTATGTGCCCAAATTCGAGCTCTTTAAAATTACTTCCAAAGCTTTGTTTTTGAATGGATCAATTAGACACAGTCCTATAAATCTAGAGTATTTGATAAGACCGTTGCTCTAGATTTAAACACTTTAAAACACTAAAAAATGATGAACGTCCTCCAAAGTAAATCCTATGCGGTGGTGGTCTCACTTCGAGGCCACAGTATTACATGGTACCTGAAATCCGCTGTTGTTTTTGAATCATTTTTCTTGCGCAAAAAGCTTCCACCTATGTTATTTTTTTTTAAATCAGACCATTAAAAATAATTATTTGATTTTTAAACGCCTGACTGATTTCCATAAGAAAAAAAAAACTCTAAAGGTCTGCCTTCATTCTGCAAGCCCAGAAAAAAGGGAATGAATTTCATCCGTCTAAGCTTCCAAACTGTAAATGACACTCTCTGTAACTGTAAAATGTTCTAAAGGAAAGACGCGTGTGCTCAGTTTAATGTAACACTGCACAAACGAATAACAATGATCAAGGGTTTAATGACAAATTATCCTAATTAATGCAAAACAGTGTGGAAAAAGCATCTTTTACTGGT